GATAGGCCTCCCAGGGTCCTGTGGTCAGGACCCTGCAGGCCTTCAGGGAATTAATAGGGCAGGGCCCCTAACCTTCTGATGGCTACTTTGTCCCACTTATGACCTGGGGAGGGGGGGGTCACTCTGGACACCAGGTGCCAGCCCTGCCCTGGCCATAGGTGTGACTCGCTGACCTCAGACTGGGCCAGTGGAGGGGACTGTAATGTGAGGCCCTGGGGGCGGTGGTGGCATGAATCTTTGATGCCAGCTCTCAGGTGTCTGCAGCCTGGCCCTGGGTTATTGATAGTGGCTGCGGGAGGCACAAAGATGGAGGGGGTGCTATCTCTTCCTGCTTCCTCTGCTGGGTGTCACTTCGCCCGCCCATCCAATCACACTAGGAGGGGCCAGCCAGCCCCTGGGGGGCGGGGGGGAGCGCCTTGCTTCTCCCAGGAAGGCTGAGTGGGCTGAGGGGAAGGGTGGAGTAGCCCACCATGGCTGTGCCCTGAGCCCAGCGTAATCACTAGTGACCCTATCCCCATGGAGACTCAGAAGTCAGGGTCTTGCCCAGAGGCCAGCCTCCACCTCCTGTGTTTGCTGGATAGCTCTGTCCTACCCACAGGACTGGGACCCCCTGCTTACTGCCCACACCAGGTGGCTCTGAGTCCCCAGGACCTGCCCAACCAGCCACCTTGGAGCGAGCTACCCAACCCCGGGTCTCAGATTCAGGGTCACCCTGCAGGTGGGGCCACCTGAGGACATGACCAGGGCTTGTTTTTTTAAGGCCCCTCAACTGCCCAGACCCGGCCCTAAAAATATTTCCTGACCTCAGCCTGTGGCTCAGCTCCTGCAGCCTCAAGGTCACCTGCTCTGTCCCTTGGCCCCACCCCACCCTTCCCTGGGGGGCCACTGGGGGGGCTGCACTTCCCATGGTGCCTTGCTCCAGCTAGGGCCTCGGCGCCACGCTCGGGGCTGTGCCCACCACTGGCTGCCGCTTCCTGCCACCCCTTAAGTTCTGAGAAAGAAAGCGGGGTGTGTTTGGGGAGATCCTCTTCCTCCAGGAAGCCGTCTCTCCCGCCTTTGTGCTCCTGCATGGGGCCATGCTGGGGCAGAGGTGGCCCTCCAGTCCTGTTGGGGTCAGCCTGCCCAGCTGCCAGTGGCCGGGTCTGGGTGGGCTGTGTGCATCTGCCTCTGTAGACTCGTATGAGGAGCTTCATTCCATTTCCCCACAGCTTCCTGGGGTCCCGTCAGACATTCTGTGTGTGTGTGTGTGTGTGTGTGTGTGTGTGTGTGTGTGTCTTGGCCAAGTTCTGCATCTGCCCATCTGTGTGTGTGCATGCTAGTGAGCTGGGCACTGTGTGTGTGTGTTGCCTTGTGTAAATGTGTCCCTTTGTGTCTGGCCAGCGCGTGTGTGCTGTGTGAGTCTGACCCAGGAGCGTGTCCGTGCGCATGAGCATTCACGCTTGCCGGATGGTGAAGGTACGTGTATGGATGGTGATGACGGTGTCCCCGGCCCTCAGAAAGTCTGTGAGAAAACCCCATGGTCTTTCAATGCCACGTCTCCAATGAGCTTTGTGAGCCCCTTCCTCACGGGTGACCCTGTGTCCAGTGCTGACGGGAGGGCAGAGCTGGGCGTGTCCCAGGCTAGCCTGGGGTGGGCCTTCTTGGGGGCAGGGAGAAGTGGTGAAATTCATTCTGGACTGGCCCTGTCCTCTGGTGGGCTGGCTGTCCCCACCCAGCCTGTCACAAAGCTGCCCCAGCAGCAGGCGCCTTGCTTGTCACCGGAGCTGCTAAATTTGGGAGCTTGTGTCCCACAGGCATCTCAGGTTCCCAGTCACATGGGGGGCCGTATTTAACTCGCGCTCCCAGCCGGGTGACCAGACCCCCGGAGAGAGCTGGCTGGCTCGCGGGCACTTCTGCTACCCTGCCACCGCAGCGCCCACCATGTTTCTTGTTCTCCTAGCCACCGAGGAGCTGAAGGAGTTCTTTGCAAAGGCCCGGGCTGGCGCCATCCGACTCATCAAAGTGGTCATTGAAGACGGTGAGTGCCCCGTGGGGGCAGGGGCGGGGGCCCAGACTGGGGGCTGGACACGCTGCTTCTGGTGGGGAGGGCCCGCTGGCTGAAGGCCTACTCTGGCCCTCCATTCCTTTCCTGTGAGTGAAGGGGTGAGAGGTCACCCAGAAAGCACCAGCTCGGGAGAGCGCGGAGG